CTCGGGGCCTCTGGGACATTCCAGGGTGGCCCCTTTCCCTTCCAGCAGAGAGGTCGTGATCAGTGACAGGGCCGTGTTGGAGGCCCGACATTAGTGGTGTTCCCCGGGTTTCTGTCGTAGAATGATTTGGGTTGGAAGGGACCTTAAAGCCCATCCAGTTCCAACCCCGTGCCATGGGCAGGGCCACCTTCCACTGTCCCAGCTTGCTCAGAGCCCATCCAGCCTGGCCTTGGACACTGCCAGGGATGGGGCAGCCACAGCTTCTCTGGGCAACCTGGGCCAGGGCCTAACACCCTCAAGGGAACAATGTTTTCCTCATATCCAATCTAAACCTGCTCTCTGTCACTGTGAAGTTATTTCCCCTTGTCCTGTCACTCTAGGCCCTTATAAAGAGTCTCTCTCCATCTTTCCTGTGGGTTCCCTTCAGGCACTGCAAGGCCACAATGAGGTCACCCCAAAGCCTTCTCTTCCCCAGGCTGAACAATCCCAATTGTTCCCTCAGCCTTTCCTCCGTCCCTGCTGTGGCCTGGCTGCAGCAGCTCCCTGTCCTTCCTGTGCTGGGCCCAGGGCTGGATGCAGCCCTGCAGGAGGAATAATATTGGGCCCCGTGTTCTTTAAACTGCTCATCTATGATTTGGATGAAGGGGTCGATGTCTCCTCAGCAGTTCACAGATGACACAAAGATGGGAGGAGCGGCCGATACCACGGAGTGCTGTGCAGCTCTTCAAAGGGACCTGGACATGGACAGGTTGCAGAGATTGGCAGAGAAGAAGTGTCTAAAATTCAACAAAGGCAAGTGCAGGATTCTGCACATGGGAAGGAATAGCCCCATGCACCAGCACAGGCTGGGGGTGACCTGCTGGCCAGCAGCTCTGCTGAGAAGGACCTGGGGTCCTGGTGGACAGCAGGCTGTCCATGAGCCAGCAGTGCCCAGGGGGACAAGAAGGGCAATGATGGCCTGGGCTGCAATGGGAAGAGCAGTGTCAGCAGGTCAGGGAGTGATCCTGCCCCTCTTCCCAGCCCTGCCAGGCACATCTGGAGAGCTGTGTCCAGCCCTGGGCTCCTCAGCACAGGAGGGACAGGGAGCTCCTGGACCAGGGCCAGCAGAGGCTGCAGAGATGATTTAGGGCCTGGAGCATCTCTGACAGGGAAAGGCTGAGGGAGCTGGGGCTGTCCAGCCTCGAGAGGAGCCCCAGCTGAGAGGGGCCCTCAGCCCTGGGTGTCCCTGTGAGCAGGGAGGGCTCAGAGCAGGGCCCAGGCTCTGCTCCGGGGGCCCAGCAATGGCACCAGAGGAACGGGCAGGGACTGATCCCAGGAAGTTCCACCTGGACATGAGACAGAACTGTCCTGGGCAGTGACTGAGCCCTGAACAGATTGTCCAGAGAGGGTGTGGAGTCTTTTAAAAAAAATCTACAAGTTATTCCCAATAAGCCATTGTGTACAGTTGCATTGGTTATAGGTTTATCTTTGCTCTCTGTGCCTAGGGACAGGACCCACGGAACAGCTGGAGCTTTGCCAGGGAGGGTTAAGTTGGATATCAGGAAAAGAGGAAAAGGTTCCTTCCCCAGGGGGTGGTGGAGCACTGGAACAGAGAATGGGCATGGCCCCAAGGCTCCCAGAGCTCCAGGAGTGTTGGGGCAGCACTCTCTGGGATGCCCAGGGTAGGACTGGTGGGGTGTCCTGAATAGGGCCAGGAGCTGGACTGGATGATCTTTGTGGGCCCCTTTCAACTCATGGATAATCCATGATTCTGAGATTCTGTCCACCTGAGCACATACTGCTTTTTTTTCCTGTAAAACATGATTTATCCAAAAGTGTTACCAAATCAAGCTCGGTCAGAAAGGATTAATAGTGAATATTTTATATTTTTTTTGGCCACAGGAACAAGAAAGTTGTTGATTATTCTCAGTTTGGGGATTTGGAAGATGATGGTAAGTGGGATGTTGTTGTACATCAAGAATTTGAAATCATTGCCTCTTACATAAAAGTACATGTAAAAGAGGCTATGTTGAATTTTCCTTCTAAATACGT